AATAATAATTTATATATATATATATCTAAGAATTCTTTAGAATCAGAAATTTATAAAACTAATTATATATAAATTTATGCTGAATAACGAGCTCAAGATGTGTTAAGTATCGATTCGCAAAAATATAAATACAGATTAGATTACACAGAAATCAGTTTTATTTGTATGGACGAATATATCATATTCTCTGCGCTATTCTCCTTTTCTCTTAAACTTAATATTGGTGAATTTTTCTGAAATTTGATTTCAGAACATTAGTTACGGCACAATACCGTATCTAGGTACCTTCCTAACTGACCTCACTATGATCGACACGGCGATTCCGGATACGATAGCCGATGGTCTCATCAATTTTGATAAAAGACGAAAGGAGTTCGAAGTGCTTGCTAGGATAAGACTTCTGCAGGGCGCGGCAAACGCATATAACTTCAGCATGGATCCCGTGTTCGATCGTTGGTTCCATTCGGTAGTGGTATTGGACGATCGGGAAGCGTACAAACTTAGCTGTCAGATCGAGCCACCACCAGGGAACACTCTCAACAATCGCGGCAAGAAGAAACAGGTGATCTTTCATCTAATAAGAAATACAGCCTTGGCCATAAGTATGAGGCATCCTCAATTTATTGCATTTTCGTGGAAAAACCGATAATAAGATCCAAAGAAAAACTAAACAAAACATTAAAATGAAAAAAATAAATATTATTTTTCATTAAATATAAAACATATTTACACAAATTGAAGATATTCTATACTTTTAGTCAAGGTTGTTTTAATCTATTTTCTTCCTATATATATAAAATATACGAATATCAAGAAATTCCTCAAAATTATCTAATCGAAATTTCTTCATCAAAATCGTATAAAACAAGTACGTGAGACGATATTATTAAGGATAATCTTATATATTTCGAGTATTTTTGAAATAAGCCTCGTATCTTTCTATTAAAAAACTATCTTCGATTATCAACAGGGATTCAAAAGAGAATTTAATCATGGGACTTGTCTTACAGGGTCATCAAGGTCATCGCAAGAATGATTCAATTGCCTCAACATCCAGTTCGAGCAGTTCGCAATTTTACTGCGACCTCGATTCCCTCCCGAGTTCGCCACACAACTCGCTGGACCGGCGAACGTCACCGTCACAAATGTCCAGTTCGTCCTCGAGCTCGTCTCTACCGTCCCTGGACGTATCCCTAAGTTCCGGTGGAGGTGGCAGTCATCAGACTCGTCTGGCACCCCCAGCCGGTGCTGTGGCGGCCAACGGTAGCACTCCGAATCTCGCCGGATTGTCTAGTCCCAGTCACTCGCACAAGAACTCGCCTGATTTCTATATTATCAAAGTCACCATGGAAACGGATAACGTAGAAACGCAAGGCGTGGTGCTGTACAAGTCGATAATGCTATCGAACAACGAGCGGACGCCACAGGTTATCCGGAACGCCATGCTGAAGCTTGGCCTTGAAGGCAGTCCCGATCAGTACACCCTGGCCCAGGTGCTACCCGATCGGGAGATGGTATTGCCCAATTCGGCTAACGTCTATTACGCTGTAAATACCGCGCACAATCTCAACTTTATTTTGAGACAGAGGAGAGAGCCCAATGACGTGACCTCGGACAGTCCCAGGAGCAAAGGCAGCGGTCACAACCACAAGAGGTAGTCTTAAAACCGTCGCTGAGAACAAGAGGATTTCTGAAGTCTCTCGCTGACGTAAGCGGGAAATAGTTCTTGGACAATTACGTGAACTTTGGACGTGAAGTTAGAGTGCTAATGGATTCTCGAATTGCTCTCGTGAAGGAGAATAAATTGAAGTCGATCAATATAATTGCGATAAAAGACAAATGCGATGTTGTCAGCGTACGTCAGTGAACAAATACTAAGCTGTAATATTACGCTAAATGAATTAACATTTAGTATTACAATATTGATGTCAGTGGCATCTTTCCAACACAGAGTCTGTAGCAACGTTTGCAAGATTAAAAAATGCAATGTTGGGATGATTTGTATGAATTAATTGACATCAATAATACATAATTAGTAATGTTAATATTACTAATTAACGTTATTAACAGTAATGTTAACAGTGCTAATTAAATAATATCGCAACAATACATATCAAAGTATTACAGCTTAACATCCGGTTCGCCATTAAGGTATTCCATTGTAATTTAAAAACGATGACTTATTTAATAGTTATACAACGTGAAGAAATGACGATCATAATATCAGGCATCACAATTACCGCAATCGATCGCGCATCCCCGTTCGTTCTCCGTCGCGAATCGAAGTTGAAAGGGCAAATCTCGCCGTAATTAATTTGTTTATTAAGATTTACCATGACAACCCGGCCGCCTTCGCCTTTTTGAACGCGACACAAACAATCGAATGGCAAACCGAGATTAAGCGCGATCACTCGTACAACCGGAAGTGCGTAGACCCACGCACGTATCGCACAAAAACGCACGCACGAACGCACGCACGCACACACGCACGCACACATATATATATATATATATATATATATATATATACATATATATACATATATATAAACACGACTCGTACAGTATTGAAAAGACAGAGAGCTCGGCAAAGTTGCGCAACCGAGCAAGCTGTTCTAGCATTATTCTAGGCGCGCGTTTAGCGTGAGTCATACACGCGAGGTTCTTATCGATACCGCCGTGACGTAAGGCCCGTATTTCTGCCGTTTAGAGCATCTATAATGTTAAACGCATGCGACTGCTCCCATTTGCCTAATTCTGTAAAAAGAGATAGAAACCATTAATACGATTAAGATAATTAAAAATTTACGAACTCTCTTTCTTGTGAGAAACACGGTGGCTATGTTTAGCGATAAATACGGCCGGTCGAGCATATTTGTTTGATATACGAATGCAACGATATTATAGAAAATAATTGTACTAATTGTACACTCTACAAAATATGGCTGTGGATTCAATTAGCACTATAGGTGTTAATTATAATTCTCACCATGTTGATTGAACACCAATATGGTGTGAATTTACATGATGGATGCGGATTGAATATCATGGTTTAAAACTCATGTTGTTAGATCTGTGGTGTTTATATCAACACTAATGTAAGAGAGTTTATTTAATATTTAACACCCAGGATTCGAATCCACATCCAGACTTTTTAGAGTTTAATGCTAAATATGACCGGTCGAGCGATACCTGATATAAATGTGCGACGATATTGTATAAGGAAATAATTGTATTAATTTTACACTCTAAAAATATGGGTGCGAATTTAATACTATGAGTATTAGATGTCATTTTCACCGTGTTGGTATTGATATAAACACTATCGTGTGGATTTAACACTGAATTTTAAACCATGATGTTAGATATACGCCATGTTGGTGTTTATATCAACACTGACACGGAGAGAATTATATAAATACATCCATATTTTTTAGAATGTATTCAAATGAAATTAAGAGTTTTACTTTTTCTTGCTCGTCACGAGGGAGTCGTATATTTATAGTGTACTCTCTCGTTTGTGATTGACATTTGTCCGATAATAATCATGTTTGTTACGAAATGATAATCGTGTCGAAACACAGGGATTTTTCTGTTCGTTGGGTTCGAGGTAGATGTGCGACAGTAAAATTACGGGTGTGTCTACGGCGGCACACATCCTCGCGTGTGCGTGTATATACAATAAACTATACACGTGTTTCGCGAAACATTTACGAGATTATAGAGAAGTAGCGGAACAAGCGATTCAAGCCGTAAGGGTCGATTGTGATTTTGTAAATACTTATAATGCGTATCGCGGTAACTCGACCAAGCGCGGGGGAGGAGAGTCCCCTCGCGCAAAGGGCAGGGTGCCCCATCAGAAACCTGTCAATTATTGTCGCCGTTCCCTCTCGTATACTCTAGAAAGCGGGAAAATTAGAACTGCCTCGTTTGATATTCTACAAAACAAAATATTTGCGAATTTGTCCAATGAATTGTTGTTGCGAAGGCAAGGAACAAGTTCTGTGATAAAAAGGAATCTCTCTAATTTTTGTTCTTCTCTTGATTGCTATAAAGCAGAGAACGAATTTCGATTCGCAATAGTCGGACATGTCCACTTTTTCCGATCTCATTGTATCAGAGGAAAATTTTCGAGAGTTTATTAGGAGATGTATCCGTCTAGTAAATATTAAGAGACACTACCAGTATTTCCAGATTAATTGTAACATAACATCAGTGTTATAATTTCATACTCAATGTAATTGTTATGTACAATATGAATTATATTGAGTTATTATATTTCATTTATATTTTTTAAATATGAAATTATAATATTGATGTTATATTATATTATTTATATTCTTGTGATGTCATATTCTTAACTGTTGTTTACTGGTAGTCTTATCATGTCAGCATTGACTGCTAATGATCAGATAAGTCTATATTTTTCTGTCGTTATGGAAAAGTCGGGACTGGAAGATCCAATCATGATAATCAGATAAGTCCACTATTATAGAGAAATCTTGGAAATATGTCACAAGGTTATATATTTTGATATTATTTCAGTAGAGGAATAATTAAATTATCAATGTTTTGACTTTGGAATTTGGCGTAAGTGAAGGAACATTAAAGTATTTCTTTTATAATTGTAACATATGAAATTAGCATCGAAATTATTTTCTCTTGAA